TATCCTCCGCTGCCTGCAATATGGGTGGTGGACACCTTATTGACAAACTTTTCAGTGCACAAAAAGCAGCTTGGGCTCGTTTCACATGCCGCAAGCATATATCGCGAGTCTCTTCTATCGTCTCGTCGTCAACTTCTAAGGGTGAAGTCCCATGGCAGCGTTTTGCGTTGCGTTTTGTAACTAGACCATGAGTGCAAATATAGCAAACATATATCTCCATCTCTCTCACACTCATTGCCTAGTTACAAAACGCAACGCAAAACGCTGCCATGGGACTTCAGCCTGAGGGTGGAGTCCCATGACAGCGTTTTGCGTTGCGTTTTGTAACTAGGCAATGAGTGCAAATATAGCAAACATATATTTTCATCTCTCTCACACTCATGGCCTAGTTACAAAACGCAACGCAATACGCTGCCATGGGACTCCACCCTGAGTGGATAGCGCTATGTGCGGTTATTCCACTACTGGAAATTGATACACTCAGAAGACTCGAAGCGCTTCTCTTTCTTTCTCTTTCCACGATGTTTTGTGTGTCTAACCTATCCACGACCACCCGTGGCACTGCAAGAAATTGTGCGCCACCACAATCCGCGCGCACTTGAGCATCATTTCTGGGACTGATGGTGAGATTTCCCGTTTCCAGCCTGCTCACATGGGTACCTTCTTTAAATTTTGTGAATCCGCTTTTTCTTGCTGTTTGCTTGTCCTTTAGTGAAAAGCCCCGCCACCACGGCAAGGTCTACCGAACATATCCATATGATACCAGTCCTGGAAAGGAATATGGGAATCATGGCCGGATTTATACAGACGCAAACTAGGCAACTGCCTATGGTTCCCCACCATGGTGCACCATATAAAATATTTTTTACAAAAAGTGTAAAAAATTTTTTTTTAAAAAAGTATGTTAAAAAATAATTTTAAGTGTTTAGAAATTTAATTAGCTCTCTTAATTCATATATAAAACATACTTTACTTAATATTTTAATCTTGGTAAAGTTATAAAAAAGTCTTCCCTTACATGGGGTTCCCTGTCAAGTAAATTCGGCCCTGTTTATAATAATGAATCGTGTATGTGTTCTTTTGTATTTGTATTATTTTCTCAATAATACTCACTCTGACTGTATCTAAGAGTCTGGAATCTTCTATTAGGATTTATTATAATTTTATTATTATCTTCTTTTTTAACTTTCTTAATATTCTTCACAATATTACAAAATACCATATCAATTAGGCTGGAGTCCTATGGTAGCGTTTTGCGTTGCGTTTTGAAACTAGCCCATGAGTGCAAATAGAGCAAACATATATCTCTATCTCTCTCACACTCATGGCCTAGTTACAAAACACAACGCAAAACGCTATCATGGGACTCCAGCCTTATACTTTTAATAAATTGCTCGATGAGATACAGTGGCGTAGGAACCAGGGGGCAAGGGGGTCAGTTGCCCTCCCAGTTATTTACATATTACATAGTTTAATATATCTATAATACTCAAATTACGAGATTAATGTATTAACTTCAACGTAAATTCTCTAAACAAATATTCTTGAGTCTCTTCTTGAGACTAAAGGCAACAACTACCTAACTTAAGCTGTTATGGCCAATATACTCTATTTCGCCAAGATTCACCGGCAATTGCTTCGATTTCCCTTTGTCGATTCTTTTTATTGAATGACTATTTGGTGGGAAGGACCTACTTATTATTGTGCTATTAAGTAATTACTTAATGATTATCTGATACCTTGAAGATTTGTTTGAGTGTCATCACCCAAGTTCTGTTGCTTGGATGAACCACTTTTTACGCTGACCATCTCTCCACCGTCGGTATTTAGCCAATCCGGTGTTAAATAAATCCTGTAAGATGTGCGTCTCCACCGCTAAAATTAACGTAACATCGATGCGAGAGAAATACTGGATTGGGGCATGCGCCTTGTAAACTTGGTTATGTTGCAAAGCGCAAAACGCAAATTGACTTTATAAAATATATAACCTATATAATAATAAATATAATATAATACAAATTTTAGAATGAGAAATAACCGAAAGAACTATTTAAATTTCACCGTTAAATAAATCCACTTTAAAAGCGAGGCCGTCTTCACCGTATAAAAATCAGTATTTAATTAATCCAACCCCGCACTCCCAGCAGGATTGGACTTATTTAATACCGACTCGTCTCCACCGCGTATTTTCGATGTTTGTTCAATACCGGATTGGCTAAATACCGACGGTGGAAACATGGCGGTCATTGAGAAATATTGTGAGCAAATTGTACTAACTCTTAAAGAATATTTGACACACTTTTGCATATAATAAAGTATTACAATCCTCATTTCATTATTTAGATCTTAACCCTTTGCGTCACAGTGGGTCGCTCAGCGACCCACCTTTTCCTTCTCAGTTTTCAGTATTTCTATGGCATATTTATTAATAAATTTAGGGTTTTTTTTCGGGGCATGTTCCTCATACCTAAACAAGTCTAAGAAACCTGTTGATTCACAATTTGTTAATAATAAAAATATTATAAACAAATAAATAACAAAAAATAATGCTTCTTTTTCAGAAAAAATTCATTTTCTACTTATCCTTACTAATTTTTGAGATGATAATTTTTTTTCTTTACAAATTAGATCCTAAACTATATTTACAATTACTTTTTTGCCTCGTTACACAGAATTGTTATTTGACAGACCTGTCATGAAAACTGTCCTTAATAATTAATCATGTCAGAACTGTCCTCTGACATAACTGACATGTAACAGAACTGTCTTTTGACAGAACTGTCATCTGACAAAACAGACATGTAACCGAATCGTCATGTAACAGAATTGTCATTTGACAGACTCGACATATAACAGAATTGACATTTGGCAGAACTGTCATGTAACAGAATTGTCACTTTACAGACGCATCATGTAACAGAATTTTTTTATAACAACTCTTTTCATAGACATTTTTATGAATTTCTCTGAATTCCTGTGAATTTCCGAGAAAAAAGTTGTTACAAAACAATCTTGTTACATGATGGGTCTGTGAAGTGACAATTCTGTTACATGACGATTCAGGCAAATGACAATTCTGTTACATGTCTGTTCTGTCAAAAGACAATTCTGTTGACTAACGGGTCTGTTAAATAACAATTCTGTTGAATAACGGGTCTGTTACATGACATAGGGTAAATGTCGGTTCTGTCAAGCGACTATTATGTTACATGACAGGTCTGTTAAAAGACAATTGTTTTATGTGTCAATTTGTTCAAATAACAGTTCTGTTACATTTCGGGTATGTCACATAACAATTCTGATGTTTGTCAATTCTTTTGCATTGCAGTTCTGTCAAGTGACAATTCTGTTACTTGACGAGTCTCTCAAATGACAATTCTGCTACATAAAAGGTCTGTCAAATGACAATTCTGTTGAATGACGGTTCTGTCAAATGACAATTCGTTTCAATATCCAATCTGTTACATGCATTTCGGTTAAATGACAGTTCGGTTACTTGTCATTTGGGAAATATTCATGCGTCTCGGTCGTGGTGCTCGACTGGAACCGGCCTCACTTCTTTCATAAGATTTCGGAATTCCCATATAAATTGTTCGCGGTCTACCTGATTTTTTTTTGGCTTAAATCCAGCTCTCCGGGCACTCTGAGGGTGGTTCTAGAAACGGATTCAACCTTTTAATGCCCTATGCCACCGTTCTATCAGACCGTTGGCGGCAGGGTGATAAGGTGTTATGCGGACACGTTTAACAGTTCCTTAAACAATCTTGACTCAAATCCGGCCAACGGGTAAATCTGTCCATCATTGTCAAACAATATTTAATACCGTTAACGGGTGGAAAGGAACCTATTAGGTCCATGTGAATATTTTGGAATCCTGCATCTGGCAAATCGATCGGATGCTTTATCTGAATTTTGACGAAAAGCGTATACGAGGGGTTTGTGGTTCGCCACCACGCTCGTACCACCTACTTCTAAGTAGTGCTGAAAATAATTAACGGTTTTTAAAACCGCAGTGAGTTTATAGTCGTACGTGTTCTACCTTTTTGTGCCGGATCAAATTTTCGGGAGAAAAATGCTAGTGGTTTCTACTTGTCGGCCGTTTTTTGCTCGAGGACGGTTCTGATATCAAAATCCGACGCATCCGTTACCAAGCGCATTGGTGCGTCAGCTGACGGGTGTGCTAGCATCGCGTGAATATTTTTTGATTTTGGGTATTGTGCGATGGCTTTGATCTTTTCGAGAGAAGGTCTTGAACCTTCTTCGTTAAATACATGCCTCAGAAATTCTATTTCTTCTACGCCTAAGAACCATTTCTCGGCATTTATACGCAATTAATATTTTCTTAGACGACTAAAAACTTCTCGAAGACGCTCACAGTGTTCCCTTAAGTTTCGTGAAAAAATAAGTATGTCGTCAATGTAAAAATGTATAAATCGAGCTTTGAGAATATCGTGGAACCGTGAAGATTGTACGAAAAATCGTGAAGATGTGGAACCGGGAATCAATTGGGCCCAGTGACGGAATTAACTCGACGATAATCCCCGCACACTCGCCATGTACCGTCCTTCTATTTTAGCATATTTTTGGAGGAAGCCCAAGAAGTGCTGGAAGGACGACAACGAACGGATACACACATCAATATAAAATAATCTTTTGCGACTTTTAATTTCTCAGGACAAAGTCTTCGAGCGCGCTGCACTATCGGGGGACCCACGGTGGTTATATGATGAAATACTGCAAAATAGGTGTTTCCATCGTCAGCGGAAATAGACTCGTCTCCACCGTTCATTTGTAGTATTTGTTCAACATCGGACCATGTAGCTAAATTCCGACGGTGGAGACATAGTCAATGACAGGAAATAACCAAAACTGGTTTACAGTGGATAATACAGTTTATCAAATTTCAAAACCCTAATGAAAAAAATTCAAATTTTAATTCACAGGAAAATTTATCGATAAACGGGAATCACTTCATATATTAATGAACAACTTTCTTTCAGGAATTCGCAACAGACATTGCAGTTTGTATGGATTCATGGGTCGGTGGAATCAGAATTGTTCATTTTAAATTGTGGCTGGCCACTCCCGATGGATCTCGATGTGTCATTAATGAAATGGATGCACGAGGTTTAGAGAACTTTGAGGAAAAACGGGATAACGTAAGTAATTTTTTTAATTTTTTAAAATTTTAATTAAATTTGTATGATTAGTTTTTTATTTATTAAATTAATTTAATTACTTAAAAAAATGTAAATATATATATATGGGGATCAACTTTAGTGATGTTTTGATTTGTATCCATTATTATAGAAAAGAAGGGTGCTTCTTTAATAGCATTAGTGATTTTATTTTCAACAGTTTTATATAACAAATCAATTAACTCATTTTGAATTTGTGGACTCAAGTATCGTGTCGAGTTCTCAGATTTCAAAATGAGTTCTTTTAAAACTGGATCATAAATTGCAAGTATTTCCACTTTTGAAAAAAACGTACCGTTGTGACCCATGTTTCCTATACATTCACGATGGCCAGTAAAAGGAAGGTTACAAGTTGCTAATTTTAAAATTATATTTATAATTCTGTGTAAAAATTTTCTCCAAAAGTTCTTTTCTTTTAACGTTTGTTCTTCAAGATAATTGTTAATATTCTTTTTGTCTCGCCACAATTCAAACAGGATACATGTATCTAAATGAATCTTTGAACTTTCGTGTAATTTGATTTTATTGCTTCATTCAGTTACATTTGTCTGTTGGATTCGGCATCGACAACAAATCAATTACCTATGGAAAGTTAGAGACATAAAATTTATCCTCTGCATTATTGATTATAGAAATATTTTCATAATTATTGCTTGCAGTATCTGAGCCACTGGTCACAGTGTTGCAAACTTCTATCGATTCTTCAGTGACTAAACTATTATTTCGGACAGAATTTAAATTATCTTGAAGAGTGTTAGTATGAGTTTCATTTTCAATTTGACATTCAATTTCATTTGAATAAGGTTTCAAAAAAGATGTTATTGGATTCAGTTTCTTGATAGATGCTTCTATTTCACTCCTTAGTTTTCTTTTCTTTGCACCGCTCGGATTAATAAAACAGATAAATTTGTAAAGATAAAGGAAATATTTTAAAAACTAAACTGTTTTTATGTTACAAAGTTGCATTAGTTAAAATGCAGAAGTTTTAAGTTATAAAATTCTTGTTTTAAAATCATCACAATAGACACGGAAATCTATTGTTAAAAAAAGGTGCGTAGCGATTTGGTCATTGTGACTGAGTTGAGTCGAGTGGGCAAAAAAGGCATTGTTCTGAAGGTTTATGATTGTTTAAACAAAAATTTTATTACTTGAAACTTGATCAATTTAACTAATGGAAGTTTATAATTTAAAAATCTAGAATCTGTGATATTTCATGTTTCCAAATATCTAAAATTTATTCTTAAAACCTTAATTTTGAAGAAATTATAAGCTATCTCGTGAACTATAACTGATATGTAAAAACTGATATCATTTTTGAATTTTAAGCCAAGAGAGTATAAGGTATACGTAAAACAGTCTTCAAAATAATCTGAGTTTATAAACATTATATATGATGTTGAAATAAACAAAAATGATTTTAAACATTAAAAAAGGCATAATGGTTTTTCGATTTTATACCTAAGTTATAAAAGGCATGACGACCTTTTTACATAAAGGAACACAAGAATACATCCCCAAAAAAGATTTTTTGCTATGCTATAAAAAAATTCGGTGGCAGTCATAAAAGTTTTCATGATTTTTGGCAGTATTTTGAAGGGTTCTATGTCTTTTTCATGTTTTTGAGCTGCAATTGCAAGAAAAACTGCTCAAAAACACCAGAAATTCTGATTATTTTTCTGATGTTTTGTCATTATTTTTTTAGTAGGGAAGAGGCGTGTTGACATTGCTTATTCTAATTCCCCAAATTCTGACCAACTTTCAAAAATTTCCAAATTTGATTTGTAATTCAATTATTTTCACCATAGAATTTACTGTTTCAGGAGAACGATTTCCCGCATTCCTCGGAATTCTATCCTGGTCAAAGTTTATGGGGACCTGTTCACTGTCTTGAAGACGCGCAATGGATTCAATGCACAAAAGAAATGAAAGCGAAACGTAAATCAAAGCCACAAAGAATTACAAAAGTAATTGTTGAAAAAGTGGAAACAGATTGGGTAGGTGTACATTGGCAGTGTAGGGCATATTCAAAAGACGGAGTATGGTCGGATCAAGCTCAACCAAAATTCGTAGTAGAAGGGGAAGATCTCAAGAAATTGAAATTATTAAACGTTTTCGAACCGTCAACACTTCAAATTGGTGATCGTAATTTCTATGTAATTAAAGACAACGAAAATGTTATAACACGGGAACAGTGGAGAAAACAGCAGAAAGAAAATTACCAAGTTCCTAAACACAGTCCAAGGAAAACGCGTTTCAGTGCTGCGAAATGTTTAGATGATAAAACAAAGGACAAAGATAGAGAGAAATTAAAAAATTCAACTTTAGAAATTAATTCTCAAAATCAGCGACGAGGCAATTGTACTCAAAGCAACTTGACATCAGCTCCTAGTAATGTTTTAGTACCTCCGTCACTACATCAGCGGGCTGAGAGTTCTGATGAATGGGATACGGAAGATACTGGTTCTCAGAGCGACACTACTTCGGTATTATAATAGTTTTAAATTAAAATTTTAATTTGAAAATTCCTCTATTTTTTTATCTATTTTACTAATTTATTTTTTATCTATCTCAATATAACATTTTCATTAATATATCGGTAGTTACAAGAGCTAAAGGGTTTCAATTTTTATTTAAATTACTTATAGAATATGGGGCGGTCCTGGACAATTCAACATATCATTGAAATTTACATTTTTGATTTGGCTTCAAAAAAGAGGTTCATAATTCTTTTCAAAATTCGATATCAAGCCGTTTACAAAATTCGAATTTTTACAAATTTTAGGTTCCAAGGTTTTTTAGGTCGCTGATTCCGAATTCGATATCAGATTTAAAAAATTCAAAATAGCGGATCCAATATGTCGGAATTTTTCAAATTGATGCGATTCGATCGAAATGCGTTACTCGGGGGTTTTTGGGGTCGCTGATTTCGAATTTGATATCAGATTTAAAAAATTCAAAATAGCGGATCCAATATGTCGAGCTAAAAATTTAAAAATCAACCAGATTCGATGAAAACTTTTTATTTTTACACGAAAATTTTTAAGATTAAATGTGAATTACACTCTTTGCCAAAACCAGAGCCGCTAAAGAGGACGTATTAGTACCTAATAAACTCCATTTAATTTATTTTGTCTAAATTACATCCCTTTTTAACATTCTGTAGTTTAAATAAATAATACTTTTAAAATTATGCCATTTTATTTAATTTTTATCGTTGTTGCACAACTCTCCACCTTTTTCGCCTTTTTCTGATAAGTCAAAAATCAGTGTTTTTGAAAAACAAGCAAAAAATTTGAGTCCGTTTTGAATTTTAATGAATTAATCATGCCAAAAGATATAGTAGTAGTAGTATTTTGGACCCAAAAACAAAATCCTTTGTACAAAAGGGTTACCAAAACACGATGTTTACTATCGATACGACTATGAAAAATAGATTTTTATTTTATGTAATTAGCGTAAGCATAATAATGATTAAGGAAAAAATTGATTATAATCCGGAGAAATGCAAAAATGACGATTTATTTTTTAAATTGCCAAAATTTAATAAAATATTATTTCGTTTCTTAGATATCTAGTGGCTGTTCAAGTATGTCTTCAATGGGAAGGAAGAAAAAGGGTCCAGCGTTGATGACAAAAGTTCTTAAGAAAAAAAAACTTTGTAAAGCGAGAAAAAAAGTGCCACCTCCACTTTTACTACCTGGTACTAAAATAGTTGTGGAAACGTTATCAACAAACACTAAAGCCAATGTTGTTTGGCAGGATGGATCTGTTGAATTTGGTATGATTTAAACAATTTTTAAAAATAATTTTTTGATTTCTTTAATATTTTTTATAACATTTAATAACCAATTATTTCTTAAATATTTAATACAATATTTTTTTAATTAACCCTTTAATGCTAGGAAGGATAGAAATAAAAACTGATTTTATATTTACATAAGTAAACATAAATTTTTAATTAAGGTAAAAATAACACAAACATGACCTTAAAATGATTCTTCAAAAGGCGTCATATATAATATATATGTATAACTAAATTATAAATATTTAGTAAAATTTAGAAGTATACATATTGTTCATTAATTTAAAATTTAATTGTTCTGCAGGAATTCCTTCAACCCAATTGTATCCAATTCACCATTTAGACGATAAAGAATTCTTCCCTGGAGATTTTGTTGTTGATCAGAAGGAAGAATCAAGAATGTATGGAGTGGTTCAAAGTGTTGATCATCAAGGACGAACTGCAAATATTAAATGGTTTAGAACTTATACTTCTAGTCAAAGTCCACAGTGAGTAAAATTTATCAATGTACAAATGAATCATGTTTCAATAAAATATTTTAATTAGTTCATTTTTACTATTTTGTCTTTTGTTCGTCAATTCAGAAACAGTATTATTATATTAACATTTTTCTAAATGAATAAATTCAACTGCAAGTTTTAATTTAGTGCAATTTGAAAAATTAATTCTAAACTTATTTTTTAAAGGCCAATATTTATAGAAGAGCGAGAAGTGAGTGTTTACGATCTGAAGGATCATCCAGATTTTCAATACAGACCTGGTACACGAGTGATTCGGATAGCCAATTTTGAAGGAGAGGATGCGAATTGTACAGCAGGTCAAGTATTAGATAATTATCCGGAGGGAAGAGTAAAAGTGTGGTGGATTGACAGTCACATCAGCATGTGCTGGCCCCAGGATCTTTATAAGGTAGGAGAATATGACAGCGACGAGGGAGAGTGGGACGATGTATCTTCTGATGCTTCTTGGGAAACTGAGCTTGAAGATTGTTTCATTGCCGACACTGATTCAACTGAGCAAACGGAGAATATTAAACCAAAGTTAGCAGCTCATATAGAAAAAGCCCGAAAAGCAATGTCCAGACTGGAGGAAATATTCACCCAAAATCCATCATTGCAAACGACTGAGGTAATGAGAAAATTACTCGAAGTCTACAAGGATTGTCGATACATGGATAAATTAATGGGAACTTCTTTCTTTCATGAAAGTCACTTCCAGGGATTACTCGAGAGAGTTCGTGAGCGAGGGCGAGCCAATGTTGCTCAAAGAATGGCCGATCAAGTAACCAGACTATTTACTCATCAACCAGTGGGTTCCGAAGAAGAAATTAATCCAAATTTACATAGTGAAAGTGCTCAAGATGTGTCTGAAAATGCAATCGTGAAAATTAATAATGAATCAATCGAATCTTTCGAAGGTGATGAGAAGAAGGAATGTCAAGAACACGGGGATATAAAAAATCTCTTTATTAATGTTAATCCAAATCCTGAGGACTCGGGATTATTCTCGGCGGACAATTCAAAGAAGGAGTCAGGCTCCAGCGAGTCGAGTGGGGAATTTCTGCTCAGTGAAGATGCCAATCGTACACTTTTTGCCAGGGAAAATATTGACTCTGAGAAAGTTGGTGTACAAGAACTAAAATCTCAAGAACCTATTAATTACTATCTTGGAAGTTCACATGTTTGTGTGAAACTATGCACGTTGATAAAAGCGCAATTAGTCCTAGCTCACGCGGAAGTCACGAAAAGATTCGGTCTATCAAAAATTTCATTGTCAGACGCTACGAAAAACTCGTCACCAGCTAATATCCCCCAAAAGGAGGAAGAGAAGAATTTGAAACCTGTTTTGATCGAAGAAACATTAGACACTTCGGTTGAGATTCCTCCACTGATTTATACTGAAGGTGAAGGTTTTACGATCGATGAAACAGCTCCTGATTGTCATAAATTTAAACTCACCATGTTCCAACCAACAGATCCAAGCAATTTCTTTAGAACTGTTTCTAAGGAAATCAAGCTATTAAAGAGTTCACTTCCGCCAGGAATATGGGTAAAGGGATTTGAAGATAGGATTGATCTTTATTCAGTTATGTTCCGAGGTCCAGAAAAAACTCCTTATGAAGATGGACTTTTTCTCTTTGACTTTCAATTATCCGCTGATTATCCAGTTGCGCCTCCATTGTGCCATTATATTTCCTATTGCAGTGACAGGTTAAATCCCAATCTGTACGAGGACGGAAAAGTGTGTATTAGTTTATTAGGAACATGGGCTGGTCGTGGAACAGAAGTCTGGACAAGTTCGTCGACTCTTTTGCAAGTAATCGTTTCAATTCAAGGTCTTATCCTTGTGCCGGAGCCTTATTTCAACGAAGCTGGCTTCGAGAAACAAAGAGGATCACAACAAGGACGTGAAAATTCGAGAATGTATAATGAAATGGCTGTGTTAAAACTGGTGCAAGCACAAACTAAACTTTTGCAACATCCGCCGCCTATTTTTAATGATATTATTGTCGAGCATTTCAAACGTCATGCCGAGAAACTTGTCGAGAGGTTGGATTGTTGGATGGAAATTTCTGAACATCACAATAATCAACACCCATTATCTCCTTGTACTCCAACGAAGTTCAAAGAAATCGCTGAAGTTGGTGAGTAATGTTTTTATCTTAAAGTTATTTATAACATTTTACATTATCAACGAAAATATTTTGAATGATTAGTTAATGAATAATTCGGCCGTATTGAGAGTGCAGACCCTAGTGTGCCTTGCGCCCCGATGATAAATTTCCCATAATGAATTTAAAAATGAAATTTAATAAAAGCACTTGAGTATGTTTGTAAGAAGTTTGTTTTAAAAGCCTTCGGAAAATTTTAAGTAAGATTTAAAGAATTAATATGATCTTGACTCGGAGTGATCGTTCAACTCAGTGTTTTATATTTTAACTAAGACGGCCGAGTGATAAAGTCAAATACTTATTAGTTTAATTTTGTTTTTAAAGTTAAAGTACGTTTTAATGAATTTTAATTTTTTAATTTGTTTAAAAAATTATTTTTGATTATTGACAATTATTTTGTTATTGGCAATTTTTTTTATTTGCTAAATTTTTAGCGGTCCTGTGATATTCCAATGAGCAAATAGGGTAAGTGTGGGTATTCCTGCGAGTGACACAATTATTGCGATTTTTAAAAAATTATTATTTTCATTTTGAAATATACGCCTAATTTTTTCAAAATAATTACAAAAATTATTTTGAATCTTACTTGATAGAATAGCTCATAAAAATGTACATTCCGACAATTATTAATTTATTTATTTAAATTTGAAATATCCCAGTAATAAGGGATGAATTAAAGTGGATTGGTACTTTTATGCCCTTAAATTCCAAACCAATTCAGTCTTTGTCCGCAATCTTAATGAATTCCTTTTCTATTGTTAAGTTGATAATTTCTATCCAATTCAATTCTCTGTAACCACGTGACCAGAGTCTGAATTCACTTTAATGCCGTTTAAGGGAATAATTTGTTGTGGAGTTATGCCTTTTAATTAACATTGAATTCTTTAAAGGGCATTAAAGGGGTTTCAAATTATGGTCACGTGGTTACAGAGAATTGAATTGGATAGAAATTATCAATTTAACAATAGAAAAGGAATTCATTAAGATTGCGGACAAAAACGGAATTGGTTTGGAATTTAAGAGCATAAAAGTGCCAATCCACTTTAATTCACCCCTTATTACTGGGATATTATGACATAATTCTGTGAAATTATCAAATATGGCAGTCATGAATACATATTAAAATCCGTTGATATTTCCAATATTCACTATAGTATACACGTTTCAGTGTTACTAATCAAAGAAGTACACTTTATTATTTGAAAAATATATTAATTTACCCATCTATTATTGATTTTCAATTAATAATACTTAAAACTATATTAGTAGCAGAATTTTTACTGCATGTTAGTATTATTGCGATTTTTAAATACGTTTACTGCGCAACGCATACTAAACATAACCTCTTTTTTGACAACCAGCGCGCTATGAACAATAATACATGTGTTGACAATTAGTTTTTAATTTACTTTTTTAAATACAAATAAGTAACGAAATTTGATTGAGTTTAATGATTTGAAAATATAATAATTGAACTTTAATTTGTAATTGAAAAAACTGCATTTCATTTTTTCGTAAACTTAGACGAGCTTCGCAAAGTTAACCTACACTAAAAATTCGCAGAAATACCCACACTTACCCTATTTAAAGATTTAAAAAATAAGCATTTAAATAGTCAGTAAACTTTTGCGGAGTCACAGAAAATAAATCTATATTATGGATATTTGAAAATATAGAATTAAATGTTGACAACATTCTGAAAATGGGGTCGAAGTAACGAATAGAACTCAAAGGTCGAGTAGGTGAGAATATATCAAAAAATCTAGAACCTAGCCGAGAAATTTTAAAAGATAAAAGTTGAAGAATTAAGGGGGAGTCGATAGTGTTATTTAAAAGACCAAAAATAAATTTGCATTGAATAACAATTCTTCGTTGCTCAAAGGTCAGTACATTAAATTCTCGGCAAAGTTCATTGTAATCGTAATCGTAAACACTTACAGAAGGGTTTAAAGAAAGTTTATTTTCCGAATACCAGGTGCTGTGTTCATTGAAATTTTTTTGTAAAGTAACTGCATCCTCAAGGTTTTCAATTATGTGGAATAGTTTAAGGTCATCAACAAATAGGAGGTTTTGAACGTTGAGGATACAGGTTACGTCATTTATATAGAGAGCGAAGAGTGATGAACCAAGAACACTAAGAACTTGGGGCACACCGGAACTAGCAATGTGAGGTGTGGAAGCAAAACCCTCATACTGAGCAATGTTTAGTCTGTTGGTCAAATAGGATTCTAGGATGGTAATTAAATTAAGTGGTAACTCTAAATAAGAAAGTTTTTTAAAGAGAATATTATGATCCACTTTATCAAAGTTCTTCGGACCTTTATTTAGTTAATTCATAGTAAGTGATCAATTTGATATTACATGAACGGTCCGAAGAAGCGGAGGGAATGAGCATCAAGGCACTCGACTCCAAGTCTCACAGAATAGTTCCGCTAGAGGTTATAAAGCTCCCCAGCTCTCTGACAAGTTCCTCATCTGGGTTGTACACTAACTCTTCCATCGAGATCTCTCTCGGGTCCAAACCAGGGAATCTTTTATTCAAGAATCGGATAAATTTGGTCTTGATTGTTCCAAAATGGGACAATCGTAAAGAACATATATGTTCGAGACTGATTCACATCGATCCATATCCGCAGCCCAGGTTCGCGTTTTTATAAAATCTGCAGAGATGGTCCGCAGTTGCAATATGAGTTGATCTCAGTCTAGATATAATTACAATTTCCCTTCTGGGTCGTGATATATCTTTGAACCAGGGTCTGCTAGATTAAAAATTTACTTTTCTAAAATAAATATTATTAGGTTGTTCTTCTGTGTAGGGCCACAGTTTTAAAAAGATGACTTCTTTTTTAAGATCGACGGTTGGAGGATTAAAATATATGCGGTTTGAATAGCAATTTGTTAGCTTCGCAGTCATATCGAACCTTTCGTTACCTACTAGGCCCGAATGTCCAGGAACCCACAAAAAGCTTATTTTCTTGTTTGTGGAAGAGTTTGTGAAGGTATGTATATGTGTAAGAATTTTGTAAGTGGTTTCTGGAATGTTTTTATATCTTAGCCAATTAGAGATGATATTCAATGCCGAAAGCGAGTCAGATACAATAAGGACCCTTGTTAATGAGTGCGTCTCAGCGTACAATATCGCTCTAAAAATGGCATACAGTTCCGCCGTGAAAACTGAGGTACCAAACTGGAGGGGGTTTCCAAAGTGATAGTCTCGTCCCTCAATAAAAATTGCAGCTGAAGCCTCAGAAAGTTTTCTGTTGTATGAAGCGTCAGTGTAGACAACAGTGTGGTCCCGATATTTCATTTGTATATGTTCTCTGAAGAGTCTTTCAGAGAGAGGATTATTTTTGAATTTATAGCCTGTTGAGAGATCACAGTCCACCGGGGAGAAAATCGCTCTCCAATCCCAGTCGAAGTATGAAGTCCGGAAGGCCCTGTATCTATCTTGAGCTAGGGGGACCACCCTGCAGTATGTATTTAGTATTGTGTATCGTGTTTCATAATTTTTGAGTTTACGGAGTGACAGTTTCTCTTTTAGTAATTGCAATTTTGGGATCAATGGATTATCCTTCCATTTATAATTTCTCAACAAAAATGCATTGGAAAGGACTATTCTTCGGAGGGAAAGGGGAGGTTCACCTGCCTCTGCCAAGAGAATAGGAATGGAGGTAGACTTCATAAGGCCTAGGACCATATTGAGGGAAGCATTTTAAACTCTGTCTAAAATTTTTAAATTTGTTTTTGTAGAGTCAGCAGATAAGGGTGAGCTCCAGTCTAAAATCGCGCGAATTAAACCCTTATATACCATTAACGCTAAAGTTGGATTAGTTCCCCAGGTTGTTCTGGTCATGATTTTAAGGATTCCCAAAGCCCTTGTAGCTTTGTTTGCTATGTATCTTATATGTGGTAACCAATTCAATTTTCTGTCCATAATTATTCCCAGCAACTTTAGTGAGTGTTCACATTTTACGAGTGTATCCCCAACGTAAACCCACAGATTATTAAATTGAGTTCTAGACCTTGAGAACACGCAGCAGAAGTTTTTGCTAGGTAAAATCTCAAGGCCCAGATTTTCAAGCCAGGTACTGAGGGTATTTAAAACCGCAGTGGCCTCTTCAGCAACCAAGACGGGGTCAATAAATTTTACATATAAGTCATCCGCATACATAACATATCTAAAATTGATTGCTAGTATATTTCTGATTTTTCTGAGGTAGATGTTAAATAATAATGGAGAAAGATACCACAGAGTTTTCTGTCTGGGCCATTTCAGAAGGTGATCCATCTTTTTGTTGTTAAAAAAGTAATAAAATTAATAAAATATGGATTTATATTTAGAGCGATTAGTTGTCTATGCAAAATTGACGGTCGTACGTTGTTGAAGGCCCCCCTAATATCAATTGAAATGGCTAAAGTGTGAGCGGATTCCGCAAAACCTCCCAGAATGTCAGCCTCAAAGGTGGACACACAGTCTATTGAGGATCTCTCCCTCCTAAAGCCAAACTGGTATTTAGGAATAGCTCGAGATGTCTCAACTTCATGCTCCAACCTCCGCTGGACTAACCCCTCGAATATTTTGCAGAAGACGGATGTGAGGGCAATAGGACGAAATCCCCTTCCACCAGGTTTAGAAATTGGAATGACCATAGTCTCCTGCCAGTCCTCCGGGAAGGATGAAAATAATAACATTCTATTATACATATATTAAAAGAAGAAACTCCAAAGAAATAGAACCTAGTTTTTTAATTACTTCACCAGTGATTCTATCCTGTCCCGGAGCAGAGTCAGGTTTGCAAGATGTTAGGACAGCGTCAAATTAATTTTTTGTGAAAGAGGAGAAATCTTCCGTGTAAATGTGTGATGTAGTGTAGGAACTCCAAATCCAGGGCGCGAAGCGAAATAAACCTTTAAAAATACTGACTTTACTGACTTAAGACTAGAAATTACTGACCAATCATCACATAATCGCA